ACTTTAGTTTAGTTTAGTTTACAAAAACATTAGAAGTAGCTGTAAACAGCTGATCTGACTCCCTGCAAGGGGTAAGAATTACTATGCTGTATTTTTTTGATTTTACCTGTTTTTTATAGGCAGGCTCCTCTGGTCACCAACCTCACTGTGCCAAAAAGACTTAAAAAGAGACATGCCCCACGTTAGGTTTTGTGCACATTAAGGAAAGCAGATATTCAGTAGAGGTCTTTGAAAAGAAGCTTTCTTTACTTGGGAGAGAGCCAAGCTACTGTTTACAGTACTTATGCTTAAGTAACCAGCTGATTAGAGTACATTTTTATTTGTTATATTGAGTAAATGCTACCTATTCATGAGGTTAACCGATTAGAATCAAGTTCCACAATTTGGGTTTTCAGGACTGCACCTAATCAGGTGTAGGTACTACTGAGAAAACATGTCCCTAAAAGAGGCCACACAGGAGTGATCCTGCAGTCTGGACATGAAGGAAGGTTCAGATCTCCCTAAAATCATCCCCGAGTTCATCAACTGGACAACAATCTGCCCAGCAGTAGTCGTGGTCTTTTATTTTTCTTAATCTCTTACTAAGAAATCAAATAAGCCATAATAGGGAGGTTGTTATTACTTAAAGATCCACTAAGGATTAGCTTGGAGCATAATAAAATAGCTCTATGCAAAATAAAAATAACGGGACTTTCCTCACCTATGAACTGGACTACTCCCAGTCCAGCTCAGCTCAAAGACTCCCCTGTGACTTCAGCAAACGGGAGGTTAGCATGAATAATAACAGGTTACTTGATACTAATGCTCACATTTTCCTTTATCGCCTTCTCTCTCACTTTTTTTCAGTATGAGAAGTGGAGACTGAGCACCGTGAACAGAGATTACTCGGTTTGTCCCTCCTACCCTCCGGCAGTCATCGTCCCAAAAAGCATAGACGACGACACGCTGAAAAAAGCAGCCAAATTCAGACAGGGAGGACGTTTCCCTGTTCTCTGCTACTACCACAAAAAGAACGGAATGGTGAGGGGATTTAGTGGCAGAATGGCTAAAAGCAATATAAAATGTCCAAAAAGTCCAAACATGAACAGAAAACATCCGAGGAAACAAACAATCCAACGACTAACACAGGAGAGACAGGGGGACAATATATAGTCGAAGGAAGTGGGAACGGCTGAGGACAAGACACGGGCGAAGAGAATCAAACAGCCAGACAGGAGGGAAGCAAAACTAGACAAGACACAGGATAAAATATAACTGACTACCAAAATAAAAGAACTGAATTGCTGAACATGGCGAGCTTGACACAGGAGGATAGACCAGTACTCAGAGGAAAGAGAGAGAAACTAA